CATCAAGGTCCTATTATGTTTAATGTATGTACCAAATTTAAACAAAATCCGTCCATGCATAACTGAGATCCGGGTCCGGAATGGTGAAAATGTGCCATTTTGATGCATTTTCGGCCTTAAAATGGCCGCTACTCGGCAATCGTTAATCGGATCATAAAAAAAATGCATATGCATATGTCCCATATAATGTGTGATGTATGAGTGAAGTTTGAACTTAATCGGTCCATGCATGTTCGAGATACAGGTGATCACGGACGCACGCACGGACGCACACAGGGCAAACCATAAGTCCCCGTTTTCGGACTACGTCCGAACGGGGACTAACAAGCAATGAGAATGCACATTCCCTGTTCTGTATTAAATGCAAAATCCATCACCTTAGCGATTCACAATTATGGAGATTATTTGTGGCTATTGTGATGTATTCTGTTGTTACAGGACCTTGATGCATATCATTTTATTTTTCAGATTGGATTCAAAATGGCCAACTGGCAGCTAATTTGTTTTAATGAAGGCGGTTCTAGAACCATACCTCCGACATGCTTTGACTGATGTTTAAATTTTATATACTTATTATACATTATGTCCTAGATATACAGATGTATTGATTTGATGATCCAGTTCAAAATGGCCGAATGGTGGCCTTTCTTGTGTTAAATTTAGTGCATTAGGCAATTCAAAAAAACCTGAAGTGCACTTTATACAGCGCCCTCACCTCCCCTCCCCTCCCACACACACTACAAGCTTGTATAAAACATGTATGTCTTTAATGTAAAGTCACATGGACATTTTAATCCTGAAATGACGTCCTGAATGTAGTTTGAGCACTGGGCTAACTTGTATCTTTATTGCTGCTAGTGTGTATGCAGTGAGCTGCCTTGTGAAGAATCTAAGTTGTATCAGAGGTACATTACTTGGGGTTTGCAACTACGGTGACATGATACCAAGATCCCGTTACAATCTTGCTCTCGCATAAGCGTTCCAACTCAGAAAAATGCGAATGCGCATGCCCGAGGTAACTCGGATACTGGGATGTCCAGGTGGATCAAAATAGCTGCCCACGATATGACGGATTACGAGAACTATATTTCCTTTACATTTTCGATGTATTACATTTTTCACTACGATCGTGGCAAGAAAATTTGTATTTTTTGCATTACAAACCTTTAACATTGATATATATCATGTCAGAAGTTCGTAGCCTCAGTCTCGCTATCTACGAGAAGAGACTTGAATGGGATCTTGACATGATGTCACCATACAGTACTATGCGAGTTGCAAACCCCAAGTAATGTACCTCTGGTTGTATATACAGGCTATGCTGGGGATGTCCATAACTTGCGAATCCATAACTGGGGCCAGCAATTTTGCAATGTAACGCCGAAAACTGACAACTTTTTTACTATCTTTCATCATAGCTATTGTCATGAAAATTATTCTTCTGTCGTTGACTTGACCTCTATGATGAAACACTAGTAGTGATGTCATTCTTAGCCAATCAGTAAAGCAGATGCTTAAAGGTCAAATATGATTGACAGACTGTTATCAGCTTTTATTCAAATTCATGTTTCATGATTGGCTCAAGAATTAAAACATGAATAGTAGTAATCCCGCGCCCGTTTGTCGCGCGCTCATCTCACGCGACCAGTGTTTTAGCGTAAAGGTGAACAAGTCGATTTCCGTTTCGAAAATAAATATAACGTACATTTGTCTTACGCTAACGCCTAAAGCCATGTAAAGCAATCACATTATGACAAATTCTGAAACATTAAATAGCGTGTTCCATTTTGTCTCAAATGATACTTTTGGAAATGCGACAATGTTCATGTTCGGAAATCTACATGGAACATTTTCATTCCACGTGTTCCAATAATTATTATGATGTACATTTCCCATAGTTGCGAATATTTTCTGTCATGAAAAATAGAATATTTAGTTGTTTAAATTTACCTTGTTTTGTCCGCCATTGTTGTACTGGTTCGTAAGCCATAGTATTTCCGTTCAATATGAGAAGTTGCTGGTGTTGCTGTGCCACTGCTGACCCAATCGCCGCCGCAGGTGAGAAACCTGAATTTGGAGCCACGGACGAACTAGGCGCTGGCCTTGGTGTATATACGTTTTCCGGAGGGTGGTTCTCTGGCCGAGTTACTGGCAATGCAGGCAATGGCCCGGTCCTGGAAATTCCGATTCTTCGATCCGTCGCCTGTCTTCTGCGAAGAGCCACTTGTTTCTTCATGACGTCTTGTCTCATCTTGGTCAGATTGCAGTCTTGGCAGGTACAATTGCGGTAGCAGCAGACTGGTTTGTGGTCTTTAATTCGGATGACTATGCCATGATTTCGACATCGAGCACATTTTGGTTTCGGCTTTCTTGTGACTGGCGAACGTTCCGCCGGCGGTGTTGAAATTGTCAACGCATCAGCACCTTCGTAGTCCGACGTCTCGTTTGAAGACATTGGTGACAATCCGAAAGTAATGAATCTTTAAAAACAATTATTTAGGTACAATTTTTCAAATACGGACAACAGTCGCGACACTAGTGTAAGCTGTGGTATCATGTAAATGCGTTAATCTGGTTTCGCGCGCCCGCGCCGATTTCAGAAGCATGATTGGTTGACACCATTCCAGGCGAACTGATACATAGTAGCAATTTTTTGGTGACGTCAGAGTATTTTTACTTTTTGTTTACTCTTGTCAAGTTGCTGTTGAGTAATGCACGCGTCACTCGAAAACTACAGATTATAATTTCTGACTATAACATCAGTATTATCTGCACAAAACGCATCCGTCTAACTAAACATACCAAAATATGTTCGAGCAGTTTGGGGACCACATAAATATTCGCTATGGATGGCCGAACAGTGACGTTTCCGTTCTGGAAATAACACCTTTTTAGAGCATGGTGTATAATTTCTGAACATTTTTCTTTTAATTTTCTTTATTTTAAAGCGGGGAAGTCGTCATCCGCGCATGAGGTAGACGGCCAGCGTGTCGTTGTTTACAAACAAGAGTTTACCCACGAGACTGTTGAGGTGACTCTGAATAATCCGAGGTCTGATTACTCTAGAGTTGAAATCCTCGCATATTAATTAACTGACATGCAACCAGTGCTACAATGAAAGCATCCGTAGAAAGATATGACTAATGTATCAAATGACTATATATGGTCATGTGAACTCAATAATATGCATAACTGTAATATCTAAAGTACTGTTGCATATAGGGAAATGCCATTGATGCTAAAATATCAAGTATATGGTCATTAATTCATTAAATATTTATAATTGTTAAACCACATTTACTTGGAGTCACCCTATTCCTTGAATTGATATAGTCCGTATAGAATTCAACTGCGAGCAGTTAACCTTATACTAGTAACTTTCATTTAACCTTGGTTCGTGTTCGCAATTTAAGGTCTCGCGCCACTAATTAGCCTATCAGCGTTCGTTCAAATCTTATGGTTGTTGTTTAAAAGCCGACTGCGCTTTACCTGAGAGGCGGTGTATGAGGGCGTACTTCAATTACTAGTTTTAGGAGTTTGAGTTTTTTACTGACCAAAATTCTGTGACATACATATGGCTTCAACAAATTAAAACAATATTTTAATACCCAACATTGTCGCACCGCGCATGTGACATTTGAGTTGATAAACACTGATTTCCCACAATCCAACATGCTCTTCTAATGGAAACTAGTTTTGACTTGGGCGTGACATGCACTAATTACCACTTGGTGACTACGTTGATGCCTTCCAATCACCAGAGAAAGTACCTAGTTGAAGCTTTGGTTATGGCGCCACGCACATGCATGTTTAAACTCACCTGTTTGACTCTCGTTTTTTCTTGAAAATAGTTTAAGAACGTTTAACTGTCCTCGATTATCTTTTTCATTACATCAAATCTGTCCAAATAAATTTCACGTTAGTACAATAGTATATGTACAGAGGTGGCGCCAATAACGATGTCAGCCCTAGTGGGGGGGGGTTGTCGGGAATTACCACGGTAATTTTATAGAGCGCCGTTTTTGATACAGATGGTGTCAACTTCCTGGAAATGACGGACGCAAATATCCCACACCATCGTCATCTTTACTGTATTAGTGTCACACAGTATAGATATTGCACTTACACGGTATACAAATGTATTAAAGCGCGGCAGTCGTCGCGCTGCGCATGTGCGACATTTGTGTTGATAAACATTGATTTTCTGGCTGGTACATAACGCAGGTCGGGTCGCATCGGGTCGGGTCGGGTCACAATTTAAACAGGCCCTCGAGAGTAATAAACTATTCTATGAAAAAAATGTTGTAATTTCATTATTAATCATACAATTTTCCTCACATATAATTGTCGTTATAAATACATGAAAATAAACTGACGATCTGTTCTTCAAATGAATAAAAAGCTTCATAACCACGGGATTTATTACGTCGATTAGAATTATAATATACTGTATTAAACGACCAAGTTCTTTTGGGAGTTTTGCGTGAGCGACATCGCATCATGTCAGAAAGATATCAAGAAGCGTTTGTTGCGTATGTTATTTTAATAATCCGTAAAAGTAAATTAGGTAATTGCTTAGGTAATCTTCTATTAAAAGATGATGTCTAATAGAGAAAGTATGGTATGGCTGTTTTTACGATTTGATTATTACTGCTTATTTATTTATTTACTTCTTCTGTAATTCTAGTTTATTGTTTTACTTTTGACATAAGCTTATTAGGGTCCAAGTCAATTTGAACCCTATTGTTTTTGTTCAAGTTTTTCTTTCTTCTTCCGCCGTTTTTGTGTC